GTTGTTTACATTGCTCATGAGGACAGACCTATGGGACAGACCACCTTATTTGCAGATTCTTGAAATTGTAATTTAATTTGTAATTGATTGTGGATTTTGTATCCAGTTTTCACTTTATGTATCTATATACAATGTTTACTACTTTGCTTATGAAATTGAATGGTAATTTCATTTGTAAATAGTTACATTCATGTGGATTTATCCAGTTTGCACATTTGTATGCATGCACTTATAGGTGCATTTGTTGTTGTTGAAGGCCTGGCTGTTACAGTCTTTATTTACACTATTTTGTTGTATGCCTACTGGCCTAGATGTTTATACAGTTTTAAAGCACCTTGGCTTTGTTCTGAATGCACTTTGTTGTAGTTATCCTACAGAGAAAAGAAAATGCACTTGACTTGGAATTAATAATGGTAAAAAATGTATACATTATATATATATATTTCTATTAATCATTTTCGGCCTTTCGGCATTCGGTTTTCGGCCAACTGTTTCCTATTTTCGGTATCGGTTTCGGCCAAGAATTTCCCATTCGGTGCACCCCTAGTTAAAACACAGAGGCAGCAATGCATTTCTGTTGACATTTCAAAGAAAAATAATCAAGCCTTCCCCTGCTGGTTATATTACAATCTCAAACTTAGAAAGGTAAAGTTAGTGGATTGAAATGAGCTCACATTCATCTGTGCTGTGGCCCTGGTGCCTGCGCTGTGCCTGTCCTCCTCCTGATAATAGGTTCCGGCTGTGTAGACCTTTCCTGCCGTCACTGGACCAGACGTCAGAGTGAGCCTCCTGCAGCAGCCCCAGCTTCTCCACTGTGTGGCGCTCCAACACCCCCATGGTGTAGTCCGGCCTGTCTGTAGCCCTGCCTGTGTCCCAGCAGGGCGTGTAGCGCGGCACCTGGGCGTCCGACTGGGGCAACAGCTTGCGGTCGCTCTGCTGGCTGTAACAGAGGAGCTTGGACCCTCGTCTGCCCGGCCCGTTAGAGGAGACAGAGTCTTTGTTCTGGGCATACTGGATGATGCGGTTCAGTTTCTGGCTGAAGGCCAGCTTCATGCCCTCGTAAGCACTTTTGGAGACCTTGGAACGTGACAGCTTCTGGTTGGCGATGAGGTGACATTTCTCAAAGCAGTCTCTGTGGCCGCGCAGGGACTTCGAGTGCAACAAGGTAGCAGAGGAGACACCTGCATTCAAACAGACATAAAGCAATGAGTCAGTAGGTACAAAACTACTAATGTGTTCACCCAAAAACACATGAATGACAAAAAAACTGTAAAAAAACAGGGCTCCTTAAACATAAAAAGAAAGTAAAAATATTTGAATATAGATAAAGCAGTTGGTGACTGACCTATTGAATTTGGACACAGCACATAGAAGTAAACCAGTATGATAGTATGCTAAAAGTGGCAGACTGGCCTATGGCTTCTCCCTGTGAAAGCTGCTTAGTGTGCAGTGGATTAGCCACCAGAGCGTTGAGATAGCAGGGATCATAGAGTCCAGGCTCAGTGCAGACACAAAGAGCACATTGAGATCTACTGGGAAACAGAAGGGAGGAAGGTGTCTTTCCCAATGTATTACAAATATTTAAATGTATTATTATTTTATAATTGTCAGTTTTTTTATCGACTGTACTTCCTGTATTTACGTTATTAAAAACCAAGATGCAAATAATAGTTTTCAATATAAATCGAGAAAGTATTTGGAATAAAATGTGAGAAAATAGAATGTTTCCAGTTTCTTAAAGTCCAAGGCAAGACAAAAAACAAAGACATTCACTGTAACACACTATATAACAGAGAAAAGCATACAAGCATACTTGAAGGACAAATTAATTGTTAAAATAGTTGCCCATTTTTTTTCTGTTGATCCACAAAATCGATTAGTGGGATAATCTGTGCAGCTCCACACAACACCATAGTATCCGTATATGAGACCACTTTTAACAGGAGATCAGCTTTGTGCAAGAAACAAAACAAGGGAATAGGAAGAAGAGAAAAAACAACTTCAGCTCGGGAGCTGATATTCTCAGTCAAAACAGTGCACACAATTTTAGCACGCAAAGAACACATTAGCACAAAGCAAGGGGACCAAAGTGTAAATAACGTCTCAGTAAGGTTGGCCAGATCGAAATAAACAAAGGCAGATCTGAAAGTGAAAGTGAAGTAAGTGTGTGTGTGTGTGTGTGTGTGTGTGTGTGTGTGTGTGTGTGTGTGTGTGTGTGTGTGTGTGTGTGTGTGTGTGTGTGTGTGTGTGTGTGTTGTGTGGAAAGCACAAGGGGCTAAAGTGAGCGAGTGCTCCACATGCGTCTGAGTGTTGGCCTTCCCTTCACAGCCTGCATTTCTCGGCAGACAGACGTCGTGTTGGGGCCTGAGGTGAGGAGATAAGTCACTGTCGCCTATAGAGATTCTAGAGCTCCCTCGGATAGGTTCAGCTTACAGGCTTCTCTCAGCAACTCACCAGCACACACATGATACAGATGCACAGGAAATGACAATACCACCTCAGGACAACAGTGCAATTGGTACAAACACACACACGACCCTTGTATTTTAATGTAACACACACACCTATAAAGGCTTGTGCCAATTGGTAATCGGATTGTATACTCTTTTTTATACAATAAAACAAAACATGAGGTTTTCCTTGGACACTAAGTTGTCCATGTAATTGGATCTCTTAATGAGGATCTTGAGTTTATTGATTGGCCCATATGAAATTAGAAACGATTGCCCAACCCTGTACTCAAATCTGGGGTTTCAGTTTCCTTTAACACAGAGTTATGGCAGCCAAAACCAATAGGGTCAGTGAACGAGTGTCTTTGTCATTGTCTCAAAGATTCCCTGATGATTGTATGACCAGAAAATAAAAAAAGAGCAACTGTTCGTTATAAAGATTAGACAGAATTCAGAAAGAAACATTTAAAACAGATAGGCCTAACAAATGTGTCTGCCAACAGAAAAAAGGGTTTTGACTTCACATTAAGGGTAAGACCGGCAATGGAAAAAGAAAACGCGTCCATTAGTTGGTAAGAAAACAGAACAGAAACGCAATGAACTGCTTTAAAGCAGGGGTTCCCAAAGAGGGGGTCGCGAGACCCCGAGTGGGGGTCGCGAGATGATTACAAAATAAATGGAAAATTAAAAAAAAAGAAATTAGAAAAAAAAATGTGATTAATTTTTTATTAATAATAACGTTTGCATAGACATTTTCAGGGGCGGACTAGCCATCTGTATAATTTCCCCGCAACGAGGCTCCCCCTTTGACAATCCACTAGCGCAGTGTTTCTCAAACTTTTTCATACCAAGGACCACTTAACCAATAAAAAACACTCATGGACCACCTAACTCCAAAAACAATAGGCCTGCTTACCCATTCCAACAGTATATAACAAATTACAACCTAATAATGACAGCTTAACCTTCTCTATATCGCCTCGTTCACACATTAAATCAACAATACAAATACAACTACAGATTGTATAAGCATTTAGTTCAAATGCGATTTAAAATCCTCTCAGGTTTTACACCTCTTATTATGAAATGTAGACTACATTTATTATGTAGTATTATTTTAAACACGAGTTTATGTCCGAGCCAACAGACTCACAGATTGTTGGCTACTGAGAGATATGCAAAATACACCGCATGTAGTACGACACAAACCTCCGCTGTGGATTTTCAAAACAAAATACAATAAAACTATGGTCGCAGGCCCAAGTTTAACTCTCTGAGGCCTGCATGGTCTGTCTACAAAACAAAAACAAAAAAACGTTTATGCAGCCCCAACAACAGCCTCTGATCATCAACAGACTTCATGCAATGCTTCATCAGATGCATATATTAGATAATAATCTCTATCTCACTCCTAACACATCTAAATCTACTTTCAGCATGGATA